TAATGATCAGAGTAAGATTATTTGCTCTTCAAAACGAAAACTAATAATAAAAATAATAATCAATATCCGAGAATCGACCGAGGTACCGTACTTCTACTTTAAAACGTGCTAAAAGCTGCGCATGCACCGTGTAACGAAGCACATCCGTTACGTGCACCAAGTTAGGTTGATCAAACTTAACACCTGGATTTCTCCTCTATTGTTGCTGTTTGTGCACAGGACAAGTACTACTAAGGTTACTAGAAATACGTGCATCGCAGAACCTCGAGTAGCTTTGGATGGGGGGGGGGGGATGGCCCGTAAAAGTTTAGGGATGGGGGAAAGAGAAAAATAACGTAAATTGAGTACTTGTTCGGGGAGGCGAGAAGGGAAGGGTCCGCACCAGCTCTAATGCTGAAGAACCTCAATAACCAATGTTCAATCTTCTTTTGGTGGAGTAAATTGGTTCTCAGTCCCTGGCATTAAAATGAAAGGGATGAGATCTGGTACTGGTGAGTATTGGGTTGCTGATATTACTAAGTAATAGTAGCGAAAGTTGCAAAGGTCTCGGGTTCACCCCATTTAAATTGCTACTAATTTTCCAAAGGAAATGGTTGTAAAGCTGGATGACTGCAGGCCAAATATCCATATATTCAGTGGCATTTGTTCAATTTCTGAAAGATTAAGTACAGTTTAAGTGCATGTGGATTTGTTCACCAATCTGTATAACGGAATATTTATTCAAAAAAATATTCTGCGTGAGAGATCCCCGATACATATACATTTAAGTGGGAAACCTGCCTCACTGTTATCAGCAGATAACACAATAAAGCATTGGAGACAATAATTACAAACAAAGATGTTTTATTTTATTATTTTCTGACTTAGCGTCCATCATTCTGGGAAGTAAATATAAAGAATTATAATTAAATACCCTTATTATTCATTCAAAATATTTCCCCCGATTCTGATTAGCTAAACGCACACGCATAATTCACCATAACCAGCTCCTGATGACCAAATTTGGAAAAATTTTGCGTTTAATAAACCGATGACGTCAAAAGTGCAGCCTTCTTGCAGGTTAATGCACCGTTAACCGAGAGGACCTGGGGACGGGGTTCAGTTGTTTTGAAATGACTGACATTTCACTCGTTTCAAGAGTAAGAACTAGGCGAAATTATAGCTAAGAGCATGGCAAGGACAGCAAGAACACAACTCAAAGGGCGACATCTGGAGATCTGGAGAATATTTGGGGAGCTCAACGACCCTAAACGTGCACTATCGAAGATGAACTTAACATCGATGGAGGTAAGCATGTTTTAGCTTTTTTTTTTTTATACTAAGATTTATTTTGAATAAATAATAAAACAATTATTGAATTCGGCTTTCGTATCATATTAAGGATTTTGAGATCTCGGAGGGTAATAAATTCTTCATAAGATACTCAGCCTCATTCATTAATTGTTAATTAAATCAGCACAGCCTTATCGTAAATAAGCTTAGGCTGCAAGAATGTAAGTATTTGAAAAAGCATTCCAGTGTCATTAATGATTAGTGACGACATTATTGCCAATTCACTTGCATGTAAATGGTGATTACAAACGTCATTCGCAAAGACTATAAGCATTTTACAGTACTCCTAGAATCAGCATAGGGAGCAATGGCATCACTGCTATTTTCTAGCTGATTCTAAATTTAGTTCCCTTAGCTTTCTTTAATCAGTGAACGCAAGGAGAAGGAAAGTAATAGAAAGGGAAAGTAAATACAAGGCGTATTAATATTACTGCAGTTCGAACGATATACCTTTGGAATGAGGAATAACCTTGGAAACATTCGAGTCGTTAATCACAGCATCAAAGTCTTTTCGAATTTCCAACCCGCGAGTTGTTTCATTTTGTTCATTTAGTGTTGTTAATGACTGGTTAATTATCTGTCATATCATTCAAAATTGTCTTCATCTTTGTCACGTTTGGCATATTTAGAAGTTAGGAACTAATCTACTTACACCTTTGATGAAGATCTAAAATGGCTAATAATTAAACATTTTGCTTTGCCACTAAAAAGACGACTTTGTGCCACCAGTAACCATAACAAATAAATGTGACCAACGTCTAAAATGTTCTCAAGAAACAAAGGTAAAGAGGAGAAAAATACAGAAAGCAAAAATAAAAGGCTTACGGCTTAGTTTGATAAAGTACATAAATCGCTGCAGATTCAAGTGAGTATCAAAAGCAAAAACTGACAAACCTATCTGCTAACTCGAAGACAGTTTACCTGACCGCCCCCCGGTTAGCTTAATTGGATAAGCGCCGGTCTGCCGTGTCGGGAGGTCGAGGGTTCAAAGCCTTGGCGGATCGACACTCAGGGTCTTTAAATAACTTAAAACGAGTGCGCTGCCGTTGTTCTGACATCTACATTCCCAAACGTTTGGACATTCTAGTTTTCTCAGACAAGGACGAAAGGCCCAGTCTCTTTCGCAGCAGACGGATTGTTGAAGAACATAATCACGCTGCTGCTCATGAAGCCTAGAGGGCGTAGACCCTGATGGACTACCCTTTATAGGTTGGGTGGATATCAATTGGGACGCATACACAAGTCCTGTCTCCACCGGTTATTCGAGACGAGACCTTAGAATAAGACTGAGAAAGATAATGCACTTAATCATAATTAGTATTTAACAAATCAGTGATTAACAATTTTCGCTCGTTTTGATTGTTTCCCGTAACTCGGAATATCCTTGGCTATTCACTGTTTTGCGACCGGAGCCAAGATGGCGTCTCGTTTCAAGACATTTTCGAAAGACGAAATTTGAGTGATAGATGAAGGGGTCGTACAAACTAATACCAAGAAACTGACGACCTTTGGCTTGTCGGTGTTTACTGGTGGGTGGAAAATTATTTCCATGCCGAATTTGCAACAAAATCACAAAAATGCTCTTGACAATATCCCGAAATGTTTGTAAATTGTAAACCAAGTTCCTACTAAGTGACGTTTTTAATTGACAAAAAGTTACTTTTTTCACTTTTATCCAACTGATTTGGTAACTACTAAAACAACTATCGCCCGAACAGCGCTAGATATACACCTCGACGCGTCGCGTCTCGATATATGTTCCACTACCACTATTCACCTTCCCTTCGGGGGATAGTTGTATACTATAGCCAAGTTGTCAAATCTGATTGGAAATCAGCTGTCCAGATTTTAGCATTATAGGTCAGTGTAATAGGGTACGATGAGTATGCGTCATGCCTGAGTAATTAGACAGTACTCGCCATCAGCAGTGAGCGCACCCAAAAGTGTGTGTTCTTTTAACTGCTAGCAAAAAATATCGGCATGACCGGAATATACTGCGTATAAGTAATTTTAAAACAGCTTTTATTATCACAAATGTTGTTGTAGTTATCTGGTCTCGTCATACTCGTGATTAAACAAATCGGGCTACCGTCGTCCGATTTTTTGGGCCTTTTTGCTGTTGCGATTTGTTTAATCACTCGTATGATTAGAGACCGAATTGGACTCCACTGAGTCCTATCACCATTATAAAAAAGCAGGTCAAACAACAGGGAATTTTTTTCTTGTGGAGAATGAACAGTTTTAATTAATTTAATCAACAATAAGAAAACAAAGAAGCAATTTGCAGGGGGATTGCAAATTGAATACAAAAAGATGCCGTAACGTAACTAATTGCTTTAAGCACTAATTTTACTCAATCTGGTTGCACTGTTGCTAATATTGTAAGCTGAAATGTAAAAAATAGCCAAAATATAGTGTTTACACAATAACTGGGCACATTTTGTGACACCTTTAGTGGGTGCACCGTGAACTATATACTACCAAGTGCAGTAGCATACGAACCATTCATAAGAGTTGCTGAGTGCTACTGTAAACTAGGAGTAGGAAGCTTAAACAGTCAGTGGTAAATGTTCGCATTCTTACTCGCAAGCGAAAGTTTGTAAACGTATAGTAACTATACATTTTGATGCGCTTAGGCCTTCCGCCACAAAAAAAACCCATTAAAATAGAAACGGTGACCGAAAATATCCCAGGCACGTGTGCTGGTAGCATGCGCTTAGAATTACAGTTACAGTTCTATCTCTTTCGAACGGTTAGTGGGGACAGTCGAAAAGCATCAATCAATGCGTTTTCAGTGACAACGAAAATGAATACTTTTGAAACGCACGAGCGTGAACTGGGCTTAAACGTGTCGAGAATTGAATTATAAAAGGGAGCACTTTGTCGCCACTCAGCTATTTTCTTACAGCTACATTGTACTCCTATTTTCTTATTTGCCTTTTTTGGTATCTATTCTAAAAGTGCGGAAATTTTATCAAATCCAAAGAACTGCATGGCAAAAACGATTAGCAAGATGTAGTATCTTGTGGGCTCTGTCCTTTGGGTAAGTAATAAATGGAACGTTCAGTCTTTGGTTGGGACTCGTGTTCCCCATTATATACATTATTGAGGGCAACATCGGATTCTTGGAATGCTTCGTTAACGTGGGATACTTGTTGTCTCTTGACTGGATTATAACTGAGTTCTGATTTACTTGGTTTCGTAATATTTGTCTTTTCCCCAAGTGCTACACCAGACGGTTCCCCAGGCAATGATGGATATAGAGGAGATGCTGGTTCATCGTAAATCGGGTTATTAAAAGATGGATTTGTCTTATGCTGAATCTGGTCTGGAGAAGAGGAACCGACATCCTCGCTTCTACTTTCCATTTCCACGGCTTGCTCAACGGCATGAATGTGATCGTTTCCTCTGGAAGAAGTACTCATAGGCCCCTTATTTGCGGCATCGCGGTGCTCTAAATCTTCTCGGCTTCCCACACGTCTTTTATGACTGAATATGGAGAAATGCAATTTAATAATCAATACATAATAACAAACTTTATTTTCAGACCACCTTCTTCACTAAAAGAAAAAGACAAACATTATAAACAGCATTTGAGCGCGTTAGTGGAAAAAAAACGAAAACCACGCGCGAAACTAGAAGTACCTGCCAGCCTTTTTGCATCTGATTAGAGCGGCAGCAATAATGATTAAGAGCAGTCCACCACCCAACGACGACCCGATAATAACGTTCAGTGGTTTCGACTGTCCGTTGTTTTCCTTGTGTTCCTCTGTGTCCAATGGTAAAGGATCGGCACTAACGATTTCTCCTCCAATAGATGTTTGAATGTTCTCTTTATGGTCCATCACGATCTTACTCAATACTGTCTGAGGGACAAGACTGCTTTCAGAAATTCCTTTTGGAAGACTCAAGTAGAAAGCCAATAAGATTACACCAGGAGAATCGTCTGACTGTTTGGGATAACCAGGAAGAATATGAACCATGTCAGCCGTAAATTTGACGTCTAAAGACAAACGCCTTCGTCTAAAAGAATAAAGATATCATACATGTAAATAATGTGAAAATAAAAACGAAACAATATAAAAGATCATTGGAATATAAAGATTAACAAACTGGCCAAAATATGACGATGATGATGATGATGATGATGGCCGATTTAAAAACAATCTCTTATTTTAATAATGCTCTTATTGCTTTATTATATAGATGCTGTTTGTTGCCATCAATAATTAAAATGTTAAATTAGAGCTATTATTTAGAAGAATAAAAATATGAACGAGAAACTTGACGAAAGCCTTTGGCAAGGATTTAAAGGGAGAAAATGTTTACAAAAGGACTTTAAGGACGTTAATGAAGATGTGTTCGTCACAATGGTAATTGCAATTTAAGCACCTGCAAACTTAACGAAAGGAAATGTTCACAAAAGGATTTCAAGGACCATTTAAAGGCCATTTTATTATGGGCGTTAGTTCAATTCCAGCTTTTTTCCCAAGCTATAGAGCTTTTTCACTCATGTGGCAAGCAGCTATGTGAATTTATTGCGACAAAAGACAGCATTTACATAATTTAACCTGTAACATGTGGGTACTTTAAATGCGTTAAACGTATATCGAATTATTTAAAATTCGATTGTTAACTAGTGATTGCTTTAATAGTTCATTCGTGTCTGGCAAACAAAAATAAACAAAAACCATTCACCTTGATTGATTTGGGAAACATTGAGCTTTTGCACAATATTCCCTCGCTGCTGCTGCAACTCGGTTTTTGAAGGACTGTTCCATGTTTTGGTCCCACTGATAAATAATAATAATAACAAATAAAAACACTCTGACATGAGTAAAAGGCAGAGCAACAGCAAACGGAAGAATAAAAAAAAAACATAATAGTAATAACTACTACTAATAATGATTTTTTTTTATCCTTTAAAGTGGTAAATGTTATACCATAGAAATCCAGGGAATCTCGATTTCGACTATGAAAATTCCCGGGGGTGGGGAATTTATCCTCTGATCCTTCTAACCTCAGGTATATTTTAAGGCATGTCTCTGCTATTTTTTATTTTATTATTTTTTTTTGCTCTGAAATATAAGGGGTTGGACTATCTTCAAAAGAAAATGCGTAGCAAGGGTCAGTCGTGGACATAGCATTATCCCTGTTAAGATTGACATCACCATGGAAACTTGTTGCGTGACCATATTTTTTCTTTAAGGATTCTGCAGGCAGGGTTGGAAAACGTTTACTGAGAGTTTTTCTTGGTTATGTTTTTACCTATCTAAAGCACTTTCCAAAAGTAGCTTGAACGGTGGTTTGCCTACTTTTAATGAATGTTTTCTAGCCATCACGTGACAGAAATATCGTAACATTTCAATGACCGCGTGACCTGGACATGCCTTCCAGTAAGTTTCGTGCACATCCCGAAACGCAAAACATTTTTAGCGTTAATTGTTAAGTTAAAAATTGTAATTGGACACCTAAATGAGACACGTGATCCTTACTTGACAACTTTCAATTTGTAGTTCCATTCTCCACCTTAAGAAAAGATTTCATTAGAAGTTGGAATTATTTCGCTATTTCTCTTTCACTTTTTACATACAGTTCATTTTATTTGTCGGAAGGCAAGGCTTAGAAATTAAAGGTTTGATCAATTCACGCTGGCGCGTTCTAGTCCTTTTTTTAAACTTTATAGACAGACATCTGTGAGCAAGGACTAATGTAATCGTCCATCGTTCTGCTAGTGATAAGCTAGCCGTTGATTTACTCGTCTTCCTTTTTAGGGACTGAGTCTTATTCCTCGAAGAGAGAAAGAGTGTGTGGGAAATTGTTTCCAATCAATCAAAGGGGGGGAGAGGGGAGAGATTTGTGAACTCGTGTCTGGCAAACTCTTCAAGTGTTTATATAAACACTGAGCTATGCGCACGTTATAACTTCATCTGCACTTAACGAGTGTCTTTTGGTCCATAACCTTTAAAAACAGCTAGACCACCGAGTGTCATTGATAACACGTAACGCTGATAAATGTCACAAAATCTACCAAAGCGGTCCCTTCGGGTTTTTTTGTTTTACGTCATCATAACCATCTCTTACTTTCTGGCATACACTGACTGTATACTTCAACTGTAAGTACTTACAGCTGAAATATATTTAGCGCGAGTTACTAGAGTGCCTTTTCGGGATTTCGCTCTCTGCGCGAAATCCCTGCAGGGGCAATTATTAACGGTAAGTCACTAAGAACCATGGGGGCGGTATGGCCGTACACGACACAAGTGATGCCATCTCATAAACCAGTGAACTTCAATTACTTCACTCAGTAAAAAAACATGTTAGAGGAAGTGTTATAAGAACATGACCATATTACACTAAACACCACAATATATTGCGTAACAAAGCAACAGATAGATAACCGGAAACTTATTTATGAGCCGACGGCAATCATGTTATATAAACTACTATGCAAGCCGTGAAAACAGCACTCAGCCGACAGCAAATAAAGGATCATCGATTATTGCCTTAAAACTCCGATTAACAGTAAAATAACTTACCGCTTGCTAATCAATCTACTCGGAGCCTCTGGGAAAAAGACTCGAGAGGCCACCCTCAATATCTCAGAAACTGCTTGCTATTTGGACTCCCCCCCCCCCCCCCTGTGAATTTCCGTTGCCCTTTACCCTTCGACTCTGTTAAGGACCTGGCCCGGGTTGCTCGAAGCATGGTTAGTGCTAACCAGCGTTAAATACCATGGAAACCTATACATTTTGATACCTCTTAACCAACGGTTAACGCTAACCAGGCTTCGAGCAACCGGCCCCTGGGTAGTAAACTCTCATTCAACGACCACATAATTAAAGCATCATCATCTTGTATATCTGCCCTAAGGCAAATTAGCGGAGTTAAACATATATTTAGAAAAGACATACTTGCTGCCCCCCCAGGGATTTCGCCCACAAGGCGAAATCCCGAGGAGGCACTCTAGTAACTCGCGTATATTAAGGAAAGTACTTACAGTTGAAATATACAGTCAACAGTCATTGCCCCTCCCGAAAAGGCACCCTAGTAACTCGCGCGTATATTAAGGACAGTACTTACAGTTCAAATATACAGTCAGTATACTAGAAAAAATCTCGATTTGCTCGAACTGGGGCCGCGAGGAATCGGTAGGTAATGATGACGTTTCTATTGTTTGCGCCCGCAAGTACGAAATGGTTAGGATGACGTAAAGACAAAATCCCGAAGGGACCGCTTAGGTAGATTTTGTGACACTTAGGGCCTGTTTACATGGAGGCGGGGGACCCCAGGTAGGTGGGGTAACCCGCCTGTCCATATAATCTCTCATTTTAATTTGATCACGTTTACATGATAGGTGGGGTGACCCGTCAAGGCGGGTAGCCCAGTCTACCAGACCGGGTTACCCTCTCAGCCGGGGTCAAATTTTGCCATGTAAACGTTTCAAGGTGGGGTAACCCGCCTGGCCGGGGTCGGATTCGTGACACATCAAATTCGCGCAAAATTCACTTTGGCGGTGGCTTTGCATTATCATTAAAGTTAACAATAGAAAGCCATTGCACTGACGGGTTGCAGCAAGAACAACAAGTGAGGGAAGAAGTTCATTAATCGCCAAAACACGTGGTTTGCCAGCATTTTTCTTGTTTACGTGCTTAGCGACCATTCAGTAATCTTGAGAAAGTGCACCCCTGGATGGCGGGGTTGTAAGATTGCATGTAAAGGAGGGTTATTTTACTTAAGCAGGTTACTTCACCTACCTCGGGTCCCCTACCTCCATGTAAACAGGCCCTTATTGTGCAGTCATACTTCGATACTCTTTTGCGTTACGCAGTGACATTCTGTGGAGCAGTTGTTTTGAAAGTTGTGGACCAAAAGACACTTGTTAAGCACAGATGAGGTTATAAGGTGTGTTTAACTGTGTATATATAAACACTTGGAGAGTTTGCCAGACACTAGTTCACAAATCTTTGATTTATTTTGGAAACCTTGCCAGACACTCTTTCTTTTTCTTTGACCGGAACAAGACTCAGCCCCAAACAAGCAGGACGAGTGAACAACGGCTAGCTTATCACTAGCAGAACGATGGACGATTACAGACATTCGCTGACAATCAAATTCTCTGCTGACTTATTCCCTGCCCATGGATGTCCTTCCGTTATAAAGTTTCAAATAAGACTAGAATGAACGAGCGTGAATCGATCAAACCTCCTTTTAATTTCTAAGGCTTACTTTCCGGCAAATAAAATGAACTGAATATAAAAAGTGAAAGAGAAATAGCGAAAAATTCAACTTCTAATTAAATCTTTTCTTATGGTTTAGAATAAACTATTCTCGAAAATGAGAATGTTTTAATGTAAGCTGTGTAGATCAAGCAGTGAAACTGTGCATGGAACCTTGCGTTTCCTGTATTTATCTCACCTATTGTATGGAATATGTGTGAAAATCTTCATTATGAATTGGTATATTTCAAAGAGCTACACAACGAGAAAGAATACTATTGACCGACAATATACAGAAAGGGGGCAGCTGTAGTGTCAACTATTACTAGTTACAATAATTCTTTCGTGTTTAGTAAGTTGTATTACTGCTCGTCCGTCTGGTCGAATACTTCTTCCAGCAATATACGCAAACTACAAGGAGTACAGAATTTCGCTGCTCGCATAGTTTCTGGGACAAGGAAGTTTGATCACGTATCTCCAGCCCTGAAAGACCTGAGATGGATACCAGTTAAGTCCCACCTGTATCTAAGGGAGGCCATCTTGGCCTTTAAATCTATGACAGGTCAGGTACCAAACTACCTCAGTTCAAATTTTATCTCCAGAGGGAATATCAGTGGATCTATCAGTGGATATCAGTCGCCGGGACAGAGATCTTTTTATTACAGAACTGTAACATTGTGGAATGCGTTAAAACCCCATTTTAAATTAAGTGAATCTCCTATCATTTTCAAACGCAAAATGAAAGCCTTCCTTTTAAATCAATTTTAAATGTCATAAATTTATATGTAAATAGTTTCTTAATAGTTTATTAGTAATCAATTTGTGATGTCATAAATTCTATATGCAAATAGTTTCTTAATTATTGTTTATTGACAATTCTTGAGTATTTGTTTGTTTGTTTGTTTTTTTTTATTACCTGTACTATTTTAAATATGTCTCTGAAAAGCCTCCATGTGGAGTTGACGATAAAATTTGTATTGTATTGTATTGTATGGAAGGGAGGAGGTGGAGTATGGATATTTTCTGGAACTAGACAGTCAGACTTAATACTTACAACGAGTTTAAACTCTCACGTAAGTCTCGTGTCAATACGTTGCATATTTACGAAGATAGATCACCCCCTTCATCTTTTCTTTTCTTTTTCTCTTTTTTTTTTTCACGTACTTTAGATGACTCAGTCCTTAATTTACCTAGACCATCCGTAAAGCAGTGCAGATACCTTTTTTTGAAGCTTACAAGCCTGCTTTGTTATTTTTCTACATTAAAATACCCACAGTTCCGTTTAAGGCTGGGGACATAACAGCGAGCTAGCAGCTTGTGTTATTCCTGTATTATCAATTTAAAAAAAAAAAAAAAAGAATAAAAACAACGAGCAGCAGTGTATGGACAATCTATTTTGGGTACTACTAAATTCACTGACATGAAAAGAGCTACCTTTTCTAAATCCATATGATTGACCTTCAACATAACTGATTCTCTCATCACTTGTTCTGATGGCGTTTGTACAACGGGTGTGTTAGTACTTGGTTGTAACGTTGCACCATCTGCAGTTGGCGTTGTGGAAGCATTTTGATTTCCGGCTGGATAAGTGTTTGGCGGTAACGTTAAAACATCTGCAGTTGGCGTTGTGGTAGCATTTAGATTTCCGGCTGAATAAGTGCTTGGCGGTAACGTTGAACCAGCTGCAGTGGGCGTCGAATGAGCATTAGCTGAAAGATGTAAAGTATGGAAAGGTTAAAGCTAGAGAAGGTTTATGTTAAAATAAGTAAGGAGGATAAACCAAATTTTTTTTTCTTTTTTGGTGCATCAACATGGCCGCCGTCTTAAAAATTAGAAAATTAATAGTAATAATAATAATAATGGTAATTATTATTATTATTATTATTATTATTATAAAAAAAACAAAACTTTATTCATAGATTTAAAAAAAAAAATAGACTATTTACAGATTCAAGAATATGAAATATTAAAATATATACCCTATGTACATTTTTCTTGTCTACGAAAGAGAATTGTTTTAAAATGACTATCTAAAGACTACTAATAACAATTATAAAAAGGATTATTATTAGGATTATTATTATTATTATTATTATTATTTTTACTTGAATTTTGGCGCGAAAGTCTTACATTTTTAATTATAACAATAAGAACAATGATCACAAAAAAAAAAACAAACAAAAAAAAATTCCTATTTAAAATCAATTTCCCTTAAGATGATTCGCTGGTTTTGATGAGTTCCACTTCCTCACCGCGAACCTCGATGGTAGATGTTAAACTTGTGCTAACTCACTTTTATTTTCATTCAAGCGCTATCTTTATCACATTGCGTCCTAACCGTGATACACAATATAAATTCTGTAAAAACGGATTTTTTCATTGCTTTCTTCTCCCTTCCGTATACATCCCATTTTTAAACTCGCCCCAGTCCTGTCTCAAAAATCGGAGGAAATGCATTTAGTGCGCACTTTCTGCAGCTCCACCACAACAACGAGTTCGGTGACCCCCATTTTTATTTCATTATTTTAATAAGGACAGTGCTTCCTTTCAGTGGGAGAAAATTGACTTAAACCTTTTGTTCAGTTTCTTTTTTGGGCAATTCTACAGAATCGTATGGATTGAGCTGTAACGGGTCGACTAGCGCGTGTTCAATTTAAGTTCACTTTCAAGCGTAAAGTAAGAAAAACGGCCTTAAACAATAACAATAAACAATACATTTAAGTCAAATTCTGTGCGATACATCATGCATCATAGAAAAAATCTCTTCTTTTCGTCTAGGTTTGGGCTGCGCGCGGTTTTTTCCAAAGGGTCCTCAATAGCCGTATTCGTCACCATTGTGACGTGAAAACGAGCATGGTGACCCCCACTTTTTATTACTTTTTTTTTCAGCTTCTGGACTTGTTACATCAGTGTACCAAGTTTCAACTACAATCTATGTTAGTTTTTTTTACGCATACTAAGGAATCACCTAACCAAACTATCCAGTGAAAGTACTTTTTACATATACTTGATTCATATCGATTAAAACACACGCTTAATTTTGACAAGTTCATTTCATTACTATTACTATTATTATTATTATTATTATTATTATTATGGCGTGATCCTCTACAGCTGCTTCTGTGGGAATTCAGCAATCCTGCAGCTTAGAGACATAACACTTTCCGCAAGATATGGGCAGTACCAAGGATGGCCGACAACTGTGCTCTTCCAAAAATATGTGGTAAACTCAACCTTCCATACCAGGCCTTTGCATTTCCCGAGATAGTTCCAAGCGCATCATTCAGGATGGGTATTACTGTCACTCTCGTGCCTCTGTGGATTCTTTTAATTTCGAGATCTAAGTCTTGATACCTTTCAACCTTTTCCTCCCAAGTAGTAAGTAGGATATTTTGGTCCGCTGGCACAGCAATGTCGATAATTGTCCACTCCTGTGTGTCTTTGTGTACTACAGTGATATCTGGACGATTGCGCTTCAGCCGCTTATCCGTTGTATTTAACAATTATTCCTCGAGCCTGAATGGGCCTCATGGGCTATTGACTCAGAGGCTGCGAGGGCGAGAGGAATAATTGTTTTAGTAAAATCCAACTAGTTGGTCAAAAACATCGAGACAAAATAACTTTAGCTGGTTGAGGCTACACTTCAATCCTTTCTTGCCGCCAAAAAGCCGGCGCTTATCGCTACTAGTGGGCTATAACATATAGCCTAGTAGTAGCTCAACCAATCAGAACGCAGCATTGATGATAGACCACTAGTTGAATTTTACTAAATAGTCATATCCCAAGTTATCCTTACTTCTCTATTCTCTGCAACTGGTTGAGGTTGATGGTCATACCACTTATCGTTACACTCTAACCCATACTTTCTGAATATGCACCTGTAGCTCCCAGTGAACTTGCTGGGCCACCTTGTCGTGGCGCTTCCTGTATTATTATTATTATTATTATTATTATTATTATTATTATTATTATCATTACTATTATTATTATCATCATCATCATCATCATTATTGTTATTATTATTATTATCATCATCATTATTATTATTATTATCAGTAGTTTTAATATTATTATCGTATGCTTCTGAGCCAACATAAATTGACTAAACTGACAAAAACTTCGGTGTAGAATGTTTACCTGAACAGAAACCACACGACCGTCGACAATTCTGCCAGGACCAATAGAAATGAGCAGAACAAAAGCCATTTGGGAGATCTGGGCAGATAACCTGACTATCGAAGCAGCCCGCTGTAAAACAAAGAGAAAAGATAAATACATAAAATTAAATAACAAATGAACAGTAAAAAATCTGTTTACAGAGTAAAAAGAAATTATAATAATAAGAAGACAATTAAAGATATAATGTCAGCTTTTGGCAAGATATTCGCGTCCCTAATACATACCTCCACAAAAACCACATGTTTTTGTGCAATATTTTTTAGAGAAGTTAAAACTATTCACACAGAAATTTCCATGAGCGAATGATGAACAGAAGCTAGGGGATAGATCAAAACAACCTGTATGAAAGAAAAAGAACCAAATCAATCCTTAATAACAGTAAGGGTTGATTAAGATTTTCCTCGATGCCCAATTACAAAATGCCCCTGTATAGTTATCCTATATATAATTAGATTTAGCCAGGGCTAAAAGCGAAGCTCTCGTTAATATCTATAGTTTACTGAACAAAATATAAAATAGTGCAACGCCAAGCGGCGAAGGCAACGAAAACAGCCAAAAAAATCGGTAAGTCTAGGAGCGCTTACCATTTGTGCGGAAATTTTGGTGAAAAACTTCCGTCAAATGGTACTGGTATTTTTTTTTTTTTTTGTTCCCAAAAATTAGGAACGGGATTGAGTTGTACCATTCACAAAATACAAATAACTTTTTCCCTTTCTCTCGACTTGAAGCCTGGTACTGGTAATCCAAACAAATGGTACAGAAAATTTCGGTTGTTTGGGTAACAACGGAAAAAAAGGGGAATACCGCGAAAGGTATTACTTTTTGTCCGGAAAATTTCCAAAGGAATGAACCGTTCCATTTGAATTCTCCCCGGAATTTCCAGCTCTTCCATACAAATGGTAAGCGCTCCAAATTAGCAAAAAAAAACACACAAAAAAAAAGTTATGAGAATAAAATAAAAGTTGTCTGTACCATGAAGCATGCCTTCACTGTTTAGACTGAGAGTCCTAAAGCTTTTTAAGCATGTATTCGAATATCTTATGACGATAAGTCCGCCACCCACACCACCCCGCGCCGTACTGTTTTCACTCAGCGGCTGGTCAGCGGTAACGTTTATGAGGTAAACATGGCGATCACTTCCTGATCACCGTTCTTGTCGATCAGAAAATCAAAATACCAGCGTGATATGGTCTCGAAGATGAAGCAGTTATGTTGTTTGATTCGTTCTTCACATTCGAGTCGAAGCTTGGGTGGCACAGGTTATTTCTTACGGTGGAATCGACGAGGGAAATTCGAACACTAGTTGTAGTGTTTGAATTGTCGGAAGAAACGGTCGCATGGGGATGTAGGAATGGTAGGTTTAACGAACAACTTCAAATTTTGCCCCTTGAATTGAACTTGAATGCTTTCGTATATATTTCTGACGGTTTTAGATCTACCTGCTCGATCTATATCTGCTGCGCTTCATGTTGACAAGTCCCTCAAAATGGCGGCAAAACTTGGAGATTGCCGAAAATTAGGTAAGTTCACGGAGTTATAAAGTTTTAGTAAAGGTCGGGCCGCAAAGTTTTTTCTGTAGCTACCTTTTCTATGGCACCTACTTCCTAGCTATATTAGTTGGATCAGTTAAGAACGCCTCACTTTTTCAAAAATCTACCTTGAATTTGATCGGTTTTCACGTGTGTGACTTAAGCGAACCGATGAGGTGTCGTTCAAGTCTTCCTGTTTGCTTGATTGAAACGTGATGTTCACGAAAGTTGCCTCGATGGATAAGATAGAGTTAATATACATGGCTGTGGTATTTGTGTTTCGCTGAGTCCCGTAGTTTGTTGTAAATTGTCCGCCAAAGTTGCCTCAAATTAACATCTTGAAAAGTGTCACGACAGGTCTTCGCTCGAGTGAAATTTAATTTCTGTAAAACTATGAAAAAGTAAAGAGATCCGATCAAACGGATTGTGGTTTTAGTGTAGGTACATGAATGTCTTACAACACACAAGAAATGAGCTAAATCTGTGTCTCAAGCAAAATCGACCGGACCGCTCTTACGGAGACACTCTCTTAAATCATATGATTTATGTCTTTACTTGCCATCCGTAGCAACAAACCAGAGGAAACATTCAATGCCTGAATATAGTCTTGAATAACAAAAGAATTGACCATTATTTTTGGAGTCGGTTCTATTGATGCAAAGACTCCCCTTAAATATCCACATTCTTAATGAATTATCAGCAGGTCTGGATGAACCTTACAATTTATTTTGCATATTAATCACTCAAGGGGCTCTTACAGATTAATAAATCACTAAATTCAGACTCCACATTCAAACTAAACAACCCCTTTCATGGCCACAGTCTTTCGATGCATAAGACCATGCATCAAGCAAAATCACGAAATCAAAAGGAGCGAGTAAAAAGCGCGCAGCTTCAGCTTAAAAGTCTCAAATTAAACACAACAAAAGTAATTTTTGCCAAAAATTTCTTGAAATAGTGCTAGTTTTTTTCTCTAATGTGGCTTAGCGCAACCATGGATATTTTTGTAGGCTACATAGTTAGGGAAGCAGAAACTGAAAAGGAAAACGAATTAACCACAAGCAAAGTTGTGCTAATTTAGAATCCCAAACGGAAGGAATGAACTTGTTGGATATACATAGGGTTTTTACCATTTACATGGACAAACCGGTTGGTCCACAGTTTGGGCGAATGGTACGCAAAAATCTGGACAGGAGAAATTCGTCCCAGAATCGTCGACTTTGAAACAGTAATAAGGTTTATCAAGCTCATTCTCTTTTGGGGTTTATTGATGGTGAAAATGCACTTAGATTTCCAGCTAGCTAACAAGCACCCCGTTAAAATAATTTAAACTAATAGAAATAATCTGACAAAGGAAATATGAGGATCAAACAAAGACAGCAACAGCAGCAGCGACAACAATTGGCAATTGGAATCGAGGCCGGGGATTTGAATTCTAGATGGCCTAAAAATAAATCCAGTTAGCAGTCGGAGCGAGATTAGAACCCGGGACTGCCAGATTACACTAAAAAGCAAAAGCCACTCAGCCATAGAGCTGCCTCTCGTGTTGAAGATAATGTTATGCTTTTGTTCTTCATCTTAGCTTTAAACGAAATATTTACCAAGTATTTTAACATCTAATCAACAAGAGAACTATTTACTTCCACTGCTTTGGTTTGTCGGCAGCACGGTCGGACTATTACAGCTTCCACTGGTGATTGCCACATCATCGATAGCTATATCTCCTGTAAATGAAGACCCCGCAATACCTTCGAAGGTTATCTATAATTAAAGTAGATTTAAGTTAGCTCTAGTAGTATGTAGGACGTGTGTCACATGAACCTAGTTTAGTGGCCTTGGCCTACTGTAGCAAAGTGGTGCAGCACCCGGACCAGTAACCAAGGGTCATAGGGTCGCGGTTGACTTTTAACGCCGGGAAGCACTGGGATTTTTTCCTCACAGCCACCCGTGACAGTGACTGAAAGATCATAATCTTTCTCATAATTTCAATAGGCCACCAGAACCAGACCAGAACCCTTTACGTTTTTCCAACAGTCGCTCATGCCATTAAAGGGGATCAAAAACAGTGTTGGGTTCTAGATTTTACTCCATGAGATCGGGATTCCAGGTACTGGATTCCTGACCTTTGTCAGTGTAAGTTGGAGTCCGGATTCCAATCTGAGTGGGATTCTGAACTCCTAGAGTGGTGTTCCGAATTCAAAATGAAAGCCAGCATTCCGGCTTCTACAGGTTAAAAGTTTCCAGGGTTCCAGAATAGGGATTCCATTACCTTTACATGGAGCGAAGTCACCATGAAAATTCACCTTTATGTAACTTACACTGTTTCGCAAATAAATTGTTTCCCTTGCTTGTATCCAGTAGTTACCCTGGTTCCCAAATACATTGAAAACCAAATCATTTCCGCTGTAAACATTTAGAGCTCCTATGGTATCACCATACATGTGATAACAGAAAACAAGACAAGCTGCTGCTCCATTTCCAGAAACAGACACTTGAAGTTTTGCGTTGTCACCTTGTCCCCTAGGAGACGACGTCTCCGTATACATGTAGTATCCTGCAAGAGCATAATAATAATAATATTTTATAACAAAACAGTCAATAAGAATCATTCTGTAAATCCTCTATCTTCCCTGCTAACAATACAGCGTTTACAGTGAAATATGACTCTCCCTCCCCCCCCCGCCTTCTTCCCGGTATGGACGTCAATAAATGGTATTTGAAAAGAAAAACATTTCAAGGATAAGAGTAAGGGGTTGTTATTTCTGCGCGCAAAAATAAACGAACTAGGCGTGAAAATCAGTGCTGTCATAGTTCTAGGTTAATCAGTTGACATTTGTCTTTAATATCTGGATTATTCTGCATAAAGGAGAAAGATAATTAAACAACAACAGCGAAGTAAACAAACAAAAATGGCAATTAAAAAAAAACCGTTAACTGTCGCTTATAAGCCCTGCCTAGTTTTCATATTTGAATTGAGAGGGGCTGGGAAGAAGTCGGTTTATTATGGGATAAATATCTCGAGACCCAAATAGTCAGAAAAGCACATTGAAGTTATGAAATTTCCATTGGGGCAATACTTTACAAGACACAGCTTCTTATAAACTTGTCAATTTTTAAGAGATGTATGTATTGCCGGAGACATCGTCCGGACGTCTATACATTTCTTAGTAAATTTTGGAGTTTTTGAATGGTTGTATTTCGTTCAATATAGGCCCGATAAACACTAATCTTGAGAATGTTACTAAGTTCAATGTGCTCTTTCTGACTATTTGACATTTCTAATCAAACTGAACAACGCACGCGTTTAGTTAAAATCTTTGCTCGTGGGCACTTAGCTTTGTATTTACTGCTATTTTTTTTATTAAGCTTTTAATCAATCCGAATTCATTTCAATTTGCAGCGTAATTGTCTCTACCGTTTCCAGTGGTGTGATCTGACGAAGGCCCCGTATTTGAAGACGAAGTACTTCCTCTTTGGCGTGTCCAGTCAAATACGTCTGAGGAAGACTGACTCCATCCATAACACAATCCATAGTCAAAGTTACAAGATGCTTGGACAGACGGCGAGATCCATGGCGCGGACGTTGTTTGTGCTGTTGGTAGAGAGAATTCGCTTATTTTTTTTTCAGATAATCACAGCTTTGAGATTCAGGTAATAGCTGCGCACTGTACGCTAACAAACAAACAAGCAAACAAACAAACAAACAAACTCCAATCATAACTTATTTGTTTTTTTCCTCAACTCTTTTACTTATGTATCGTCCACGATATTGATTAAATGCTTCGAATAAACGTTTATGTAATCAGTTTTCTAAGGGATTCATATCAGGAGGTTCTTCCACATTATCAGCTCCCTTACTAAGCGAAATGCACATGATATGACTATTGAATTTTGTCTCGTCCAACATACCTCCAGAGCATATCACCGATGCATCTTCACTGTGGTCGCAGTTATGAGAGCCCCAACCTCTGTGCCGACAATAGATTATGGAACTTTCTCTTCCCGAACATGCAACATCGTCCAGCCAGATTTGACCACTCCCGGGCCCGAATCGGGCATTCGCTGGGGCACTAACCGCACCAGGAAATCCAAGCTGGCGACAAACGACTCGTGCGTCATTTATATCCCAGGAGTCATCACAAACAGTTCCCCAGATGTTATTGTAATATACTTCAACTCTTCCTTCCCAGCTTCCAGATCCTCCAACAACTCTCAGACCTAAAGTACAAGAAAATAAGGGTAAGTGAAATCTGAAATGTATTTCCGGTGTTTTTTTGTTGTTGTTGTTGTTGTTTTTGTTTTGTTTTGTTTTTTGACTTGTGGATTACCTATAGCGCAAGGAACGAGTTAAGGTTGATTTCCACTGACGCGTTTTTGTCTACGCACGTTAACGCCAGTAAATTTTAATCACGCTAACAAAATAGAGGCAAGATATTAAGTGTTGAGATTAAACGTCAAGTTGAGCGAGGTTCAGCTTTAACGCTTACGAGCGACCGTTCATTCATTGCCTCTATCTTATTTGCGAACGTAAAATTTATGCATGTACGCACGTAAAAATTACGCGACAGTGGAAATCAACCCTTATTGTGATTGTGGGTACCGCAATATGCAAATGTGCACTCAGGTTTAGACGGCTTTCATAATTTCTCAGCTCGCACGATAACGCCAGATATCAAAACGACAACTGTGGTAGATCGATCGTTCCCGTTCCGTAAACAGGAATTTTGATGTTATGATTTTGTGCTATAGCTTCATGGGGCGATAAGTTGGCTTCATGTGGACTTTGAATGTTTGAAATTAGCACTATGGCCAACTTTGAGACAAAAGTTTTATGAATTTTTGAAGCTTTCTGAGTCATGCAGGCGATAAACATGACGGAGAGAGCAGCAATTGCTCTTCGCCTCCCCAAGCTAGTCCAAGCTGACGATTCTGTTATGAGTTTCACGATTTTTTAACTTTGCATCTCGTTATACAAGTCGGAAGCCCTCTCTTTTACCGTCGTGCTTAGGTTGCTGTTTTGTTGAATAAGTTGCGCCATAACGTCATTAGGTGTGCGCTGGATTTCTTCCGGGTTTACAGCTAGTTTTAGCCAAGTCTCTGCTTTCAATCGTTTTCGTTCTTTACCGTTTGTGATGGCTTGTGTTTTTTGGCAGAAGCGTCTGATGCTTGCGGCTACTGCATTTCCAATGTGGTCCCGGGATGAATCAAAAAGCTGGTATCCTAACGGTAGAATGCTTCGTTGGATCGAATCAAATGCCCTCGGGTGACCAGAAACTTGACGCTATTCCCAGACTGCTTCTCCGTTAATTTGTAGAGAGAACATTGGATCTTTTTTATCCATAAAAGGAGGGACCATGGGTATTAGCAGGGGAATGATCGGGTTGTCTATGAGCCCTGAAAAGAGCTCCCGATCGTTGACGTTATCGTCGATTTTAGCGTTGCTCATTACGCGATCTGTCTGGCAGTTCGCATGAGTCAGATGTTGCACTGTATTGGCTTTGAAATTCGCGGCAACTGTGAACTATTTTACAACTGAGTGGTTTTCTTGAATGCGCATCGTATTAGCCCTAAAAACGATTCTTATTCACTCTTGGGACTAAGACAATAGCTCGCTTGCTCGAGACGCGCCATTTTCGAACACAACTCCTACGAGAAGTTTTCAAAGTGAAAGGGATAGTGGTTCTACTCAACCGATTTTCAAAATTAAAACGGATTCTTTTCGAGAAAAGGTCCATCTTTCATTTGCCGCGCGTAGGTTTTTGAAACACAGTGTAAATTTTCAGAAATTTTCTTTCGAAAATGGACTCCATACTAAAACTCCCGTTTTTACTGTATTTTCAAGTTCAAAGGGATAATGTTTACTCTTCTTCAATCTTCTTCATTCTAGGCTCAATTTGCAGATACACCATTCGTCTTCAAAAGATGCGCGTAAACTTTTAGGATTTGGCTTTTGGAAAGTAGGAAAGCAAGTTTTATCAGCGCAACCTGACCAATTTGAGCTCTTTCTTCTCTTATTGTGAGCTTTCCTTAGCCAGCCCGCATACAAATTTGCCGCTTCGCTGATTATGAATATTTAATGTGTGTCTGCATTCTTCGCGATGGAGTTTTCTCATTATAAGATTCCCAATCACAAGTTTTTTTTAGGGGAATATCAATCAATATTATTGTTGGCGGATCGTAATTGATTTTCCTCGTGTAACTGCAGAGAATTGCAACGCCGACAGCAAGAGACTTCACGACGGTTTTGCGACACAAAATATCGTCTCATCGGCCATATGTTCTTCAGTTCAAATGCGACGAAATGAGTTAAAGCGCGACTTTTACCGTCAAAACCCAGCTTATTTGCCTCGAATATATCCTTCATTTCTTCACAAAAAAAAGCTTTACCAACTTCAAACGGCGTCCATCGGCAGAATTTCATGGGCAAAATGTTAAATATAGTTCATTTAATATAATTGGTATCATCAGTTGTCGTGACGCAAACAATAGGGAACTTAAGAACCACGACGACGACTTTGTCGACGACGACCGGAAGTGAGTTACTGTGTACTGCGCAAGCGCGACTAGTAAATTTCGTCGTCGTGGTCCCGTCGACGACGCCAAACAAAGTAGAATCACGTCGTCCTGCAATCCACAAGCTTCAGCAGGTATAAATCCACTGTTTTAAGCGATTTTTGAAGTCCTTTGCATTTGCTTATCCTCGTAAATCCAACTATCGTTCCTTTTTTTTCCTAACAAGCGATGTTGATTGAAAATTCGACTAATGAATTGTTTTTACTTCGAAGAATGACAACAGCTGTGGAGCGCGAGCGAGCGAACTCGTAAGTGATAAATTTACTTGTACGTATTTAGGTAAGGCAAATCATATATCTTTACTATAGAGGAAATAAACTTTATATGGAAAACAGCTATCTTATCAGAATGTCTCTCTTTCCAAATTTAAACTCTGACAGACACTCGGACTCGGTCATCTTATTCAGGTTGAATAATCTTCATACGGAAAGCGGGTGTTTTTCCCCTCGAAAGGTCAGACAACACAAAAATTGTTTATCGTCAATGAAATTAGACGCACGGCTAAAAAATAAGATCTTGCATTGTTTTAAACGACGCCATTGCGAAAAACTTTGTTGCGAACGAACATCACAGTTTTACATTTGTGTTTACTTTAGTGTCGTCGTCGTCGACTACCAACCGACTGCATCTTAAGTTTTCTTTTTCCCGCCGAAACCGACGTTCTCGTTCCAGTCTATTCCCAGTTAACAGACGTCGTCGTCGTGAACTTCGTCGTGGTTCTTAAGTTCCCTAATAGGGAACTTAAGAACCACGACGACAACTTTGTCGACGACGACAGGAAGTGAGTTACAGTGTACTCCGAAAGCGCGACCAGTAAATTTCGTCGTCGTGGTGTCGACGACGACGCCAAGCAAAGTAGAATCACGTCGTCCTGCAATCCACAAGCTTCGGCAGGTACAAATCCACTGTTTTAAGCGATTTGTGAATTCCTTTGCATTTTCTTATCGTCGTAAATCCAGGTATCGTTCCTTTTTTCTCTTCACAAGCGATGTTGATTGAAAATTCGACTAATGAATTGTTTTTACTTCGGAGAATGACAACAGCTGAGGAGGCCGAGCGAGCGAACTCGTAATGGTATTTAGGTAAGGCAAATCATATATCCTTAATATAGAGGAAATAAACTTTCTATGGAAAACCACTATCACACCAGAATGTCTCTTTTTCCAAATCTAAACTCTGACACCCTGCCTTACATGTAACTTTAATAAAGCTATTTTGCTTGATCTGTTTAGTTTGTTACGCTTTTAAAGGAGCTATATCACACAATTTGCTATCTTTTTAAAGAGCTAAAATTTTTTCTCATCAATTGAAAATAATAGTTATTTTAAGACCCTAAGTATTAGTCCGGCCCCAGGAATAGAACCCGCGACCTCCCGCTCCCTAGTTAAGCGCTCTAGACACTCGGACTCGGTCATCTCATCCAGGTTAAAAGTTAAATAATCTTCGTAGGGAAAGCAGGTGTTTTTCCACTCGAAAAGGTCAGACAACACAAAAATTCTTCATCGTCAATGAAAGTAGACGTACGGCTTATAAAATAAGATCTTGCTTTGTTTTAAAAGACGCCATTGCGAAAAACTTTGTTGCGGACGAACATCACAGTTGAATTAAGTGGTATTGGAAAATAGGCGCTCCTCCTGAAGTAAATTCTATAGCCTAATACAACATATTATTTATACAACATAAAAAGCTGTTATGAATAAGTTATAAATTGGGATTTGGCAGGCAAGGTAACTAATGAAATAAAAACATACCCGATTTCTCAGTCCACTCTGTGACCTCTGAACTCGTGTAAACCTTTCCGTTATCATTTACACCAAGAACATTGAGTCGATATTCCATATATGGCGACAGCCCATAGAAAACATTAGATGTAGCATTTCCTTGCAGGATATTTCCATTCACAATACTTCCATTGCCGCTTTTTATGACAGTTAGAAAGTGAAGAATGCTTTGGTCTAGCAGTGCTGATAGATTTTTCCAAGAAACGCGCATACTGGTTGCTGTTTTGTTATCAATGGATACGTTCCAACTGGACACTAGTTGGGCTAAAAAGAAATCGAGAAAGTTTATTAGCTAATGATGATGATGATGATGATGATGATGATGAAAGACATTACAGCGATAGGTGAGTTTGAGAATTCCAAATTAAATTTCGCAATCATGTGCAACGCTCAGATTCTAATCTAATCTAATTTCAAATATTTTTGTACAGGTACCCCCTCTAAAATCACGTACGTAAACTTTATAATATGTCAGCCTGGTTTAGAACCAAGATATCAATGTGAAAGTTAACGTGGAGTGCTTTCTAGT